TTGTAAAAGAGCATTATTGTTTTGATTCTATAAATACTATCAAATAATTAGAAGAGATAAAGAAGAATCTAAACAAACGTTTCAAACAAACATCTATAAATAAAAGATAAATTATAAGTTACTATTCATATATACAATACTTAAAATTTGTACATTTATGTATCCAAGAAATTTTAGTGATAAAAGAAGAAAATACATTTCTACATTCAAATAAACTTCAGAGATAGGATATAGAATAGGTGAACTTTCTATTATTGTCTAATTTCGAACAGGATGTGCATCCACAATGCAAAAGAAATTTAGTAACAATAAATAACATATTGTGTTCATACAATGAAATATTTATTTGTTTTGCTATTTTGCTGTATATTTTATATGCAGAAAACATTGAACTTTCCACAATAGTTAAGTAACATTAGCAACATGAAGCATTATGTATAAAACTATAGAAGTTGTAATAGTTATTATTATTTGTATACAAAGTTTTCATAAATGGATAAATTTAGAAAAATTCATTTTTCCGCAAATAACTCATGAAATTTCAATTTTGAATCTAAAATACAGTTACTACTCTACACGTCAGATAATTTACGAAAATAAATTATCAATCTTTTTCTCATCTAATTACATTTACTCAAAATTGAGATAAAAATTTCTATCTTGCACTAAAATTTGTCTTTTATTATCTACTCTCAGTTTTTCAATCGGCACTTGAAGAAAAGAAAATATTGCTATAAAATTACAGCCTAATACACATTACACATACACACGTGCATACATGTATAAGAGTGAGTTGGAGATAGATACGTATGACACGCCAAGGGGAAGCTTCCCAGGGGAGAAAGCGATTCTGAAAATTCTTGGAAGACACGTCGATAAAGGACTATGGTGCCATACTCGAGAAAGGTTCACTCTCCGTCTCTCTCCCTCTTCTACCCCCGGAACACTTTCTTACCCAGCGCGCCGAGGAAATTGTATTTCGTTCCGACGAATAGCAAAGCGAAGATGACAAAGTCACGAAGAAAAATTGCGAAATTGCTTCCTACAACGGGCGCACCGAGATATTTCCGAGGTGTATCTAACCTTTTCCTATGTAGCCTTTCCATCGATCATGATAGGAATCTAAGTGGATTTTTTGATTTCGTTCCGGAGACCTCTTCGGATACCAGCGTGATCAGGTGCCCTCGTAGTAACCCAAATGCATCCTCAATCGAATTCCTAAACCACAAAGGAAGGAGGGAGTTCTATCTTGATCTAGGACTAACTTAGACCTTGGAGGAAATTGAAATTTAAACTATTTCTTATATAAATTAAAACTATTTTCTTTGAGTAGCTAACGAATCCATAATGACTAATTCAGGTGCGTCGAAGTATTATGGAATTTAAAATATAATGTGTCTCTAATATAAATACCAACTATTTTTG